GGCTCTGCTCTACCTTCAAAGCCTGTTAAACAGTTTATATGGTTTATGGATGCAACTTGCTAACCACTCCAGCTAGCACTGATTTCACTCATATGGACAAAAGTACTGTGTTGCTGACACATTAGCATACTGTGCTCAGCCATGGAAACCAGTTACTGAGTCAGCAGTGTTGTTGATTTTTACACAGTAGCATCCAGTGACCCCCGACTGTAACTGAGCTGCTGTAACCATAGCAACTCTTAACTGTGGAGGGGAGACGTTTGAGTTTACACACCTGTGGCATTGTCACTGAAAACACCTGGATTCCAATACTTTTGTCCACATGGCTCAAAAACAGCAAACCTGTACGTGTGAGTCGGGAAAATAACAACATCATGAAGGCTGTGTCCATATGTGGACAGTTTGCTGCAGGCAGACGAGCAGAGTTGTAAGAAGACACATTGGACCTTTATGCTTTCTATTGCCTCAAAACTGCCCGTGTAGTTTCATAATGATTAATAAATCAGTTTGTCTGCAGCAAAAGATTTGGACTAATTACTGTTGCTTTAAATTGCTACATGTTCCAGTCTGACTGGCATCTGAGAAGTGCTCGTTATAGGTCATAGTTTTGGCAGACGAAGAGCACCAACGTCCGTTTGGGCACAGTTTGGTTTGTAATGTTAACTGGACTCAGGTCTGGGCTCAGTGCATACTGGGACTGAATGACTTCATAAACACTGACACAATCCTGGCTTTAACCGGAAGCTCTTCACTTTCTAAAATAGTGTAAAAATGCATAATTGCAAGACTTTGTTGGGCGCAGAGTTTCATGTGTACTGGAAAATATTTATTAGAACAAAAATCCAAAACAGAAGGAAACTGATTTAGAATAAAACTTTAATTCATTCATTTCTGAAGGGAACCAGATGAAGCATACAGATCCTATTGGACAACACAACAGCAGTTTCTGCACTGATCTTTATTGTGGCCAGTAGTGGAAGCAGCAGCATTTTGATTGACAGAAGCGTGTAACCAGCTGTGGTTGAGTGTGGGGTAGGGCTGTTTCCTGGTGACCTTGCCCTGAGCCTTTCTGAGCCATCATTACTGTTGTTTCTTACATCTGTGCTTCCTGTGCTGTGTCAAAATATCTGTTATGGAAAAGACAAGAAGTCTGAGTTGAGAAGCTGAATCTGTTTAGTACAATCACAACGAGCTCCAGAGTGGAGGAGTCGGTCAGCATAGAGAACACGTTTATTGTTGGCTTTGATATGTTAGACGGTGGAGCAGCTGTGAGCGATACTGTTAACCTAAAACACTTGTGATTGCAGCCATGTGCTCCTGCATTCTGTTGGCTTGTATGTATGAAGTGCATCTGCAACAAGAACCAGCAAATACAAGCATCCATGAGTCAGGATTGTAAGATTGTAAGCAGAGCTTCATGGGTAGCAGTGACAGCGTGAGTCAAGAGGGCGTGGCCACATTTAAATCAGGTACCGAATGTGACTCATGGCGCAGTGTGACTGGACGTCATCATCATTCGTTTATAGGTGAAACATCTGAGTTTGTAATGATGATAATGAATCATTAAATTGCTTGATAGAAAATTAAAACACGTCCACAGGGTCACTTCAGGTCAAATTTATTTGTACAGCTCCATTTAGACACGAGGTAAATCAGAGCGTGTTCACAGAGGGAAAGAAAGTTTAAAACATACGATAGTGTGTGTGATGTGCAAGCTGTGTCGAGTACACAGCTTGCACATCACGGGTAACGGGTCAAGAACATAAGCTACCTTCAGCTTATGCACAACGACGGACCGTTTGATCTATGTGTTATGTGTTGATCGATGTGTTAACCACCACACTATGTTGCAATGGTGTGAATGTTATATTAAAAGTGCAGAACTGGACTGACCTTCTATTACGAGCTTAATTCATCCCAACTGAGAGCAGAAACAGAGAAACGTCTGCATCGTGACAGCGTAGCTGAGCTTACAGGATAACTAGCTTGTGCAACAAATGATTATTGAATGCAAGCTTGATTCAGTGCAGTGTTTGGCTCCGCCCCGTGACCTTTGACCCATCATGAGATTATGTCTTAAGATAGATGACAGATCATTTTTTGTTTTTTTGTAGCATAGCGCTGTTTGTCAAAATGTTTGTAAAACTACAAACAAGTTGTTACATTTTTTCTTAAAAAGGTTCTTGTAATGTTTATGGTGTTTATAATGTACTTGTGCCATATGCTTTTTCTTTTTCCTCTTTCTGATGAATTGTGAAAAGCTGTACTAGATTTAAGCAAGAGTAAAATACTACCATTAATATAAACTATCTAGACTTGTTTATCCAGAACGGGCCTCGCTGGACTGAGCTGGGATCAACACGCCCAACACTCTCTGAACTCTAACGACCAATCTACGAGTCGTTTCTGGGTATTTTTGTGCACGTTTTGTGGTTTTGGTCAGAATCTATTGAAAATGTCACTCTGTCAGTCTTATATGTATTTGACTGGATTGTTTTTCATACTTGTGGGAACACCATATGCTCTATTAAATGTTGTATACTGTGAAAAAGCAGTTTTCTCCGTAAAGACGACACCTCTAAATATCTGGACAGCAGGATTTTCTGCACAATTAACCTTTGGTGCATTTAAAACACTGAGCATTCAGAGCAAACGTTGGTCGAGCTGAGGCTTCATATCATCCACATGATACCTCAGAATGCACACAAAAATAACATGCGTGTGGCTAAGATGTAGCACTTTAACAGGTCCCAGAAATCCTCATGTTGAGTAGTCGTGCCGAGCACTTGAAGACAGCAGATGGGTTGTCATGACGGGGGAATGTGGGAGCAGACACTCTGTAATCAGGCTGTCCATCTCAACACTGGCCTTCAATTACTTTGCAGATGCTCACACGATACCTCCTTTCCCTCTTCACTGAAGCCTGAAACACTTGTTCTTGCAGTGTAGGTGAACCAGAGCTTTCTATGTAATATTGCATTTCTGTGTGCAACTATTTTACCAATTAGTTTCACAATTTCTGAAGGGGGCGGGGCTATGGCCTTACAAATGGTACACTACACAGCCTTCAATGAGGAGCTGGGGACATGCTATCAAAGATCATCATTCAGTGACACTAGCAGCGGTGCTGTCTCTGCTGTGATCATTATCATTTTCAATGGTAATGCAAAACAAAATCCTTAATGTGTTAAAAAAATAGCAGAGATGAGAAGTTATCGATGTGTTTGATTGGAAACGAGTTCACAGCCTCTCTGCTAATTTCACACTAGGTTCAATCCATTGCACTTTGTTATTAGACTGTGTTTTCCAGTCATTCAAGCATCGTTTGCAAATGTTTAATCAGACTCTGTTTCTTACTGTCAATCACTTAAAACTGTTACGTTATCTTTGTGACTCAGTTCAATGAAAATTTTAATGAATGAATTAAAAATATGTGACTTAAAGGCAAAATGAAGACATTTAAACTCAAATTTAAACTTAAAAAATGAATAACTTAAAAAAAGGATAATTTGAAAAACCTTTTAGAGGTTTTAAAGAATTGTTTAAGACATTAATGGGTAGGTTATTTTGGGGGTTAACGTAGTGCAACCAAAGAATACAGCAAAGGTACTGAGACATGGCATCAGGCCACTCGTATTGCACTTGGAACTTTTGGGGGCTCGTCCGGGATTTGAACCCAGGACCTCTCGCATGGCAGGCGAGAGAACTTAAAAACTTTCTTAGGTTTCAAAGAACAACTTCTAAAAAACTCCAAGAGGAAACTACTGCAGCGTAGAGAAGGGCACCTCATTTCTGTCTCCATGAACTCTTTCAGCGTAGCTTTGTACTATTCACAGTTCAAAGTAGCTTTCTCTTTGAACTGTGAATATTTCCACATTAAGAAGCTGCTGTCAAGTGTTTTCAGAGGTTAGTTTTATTCTGTATGTCTGTGAAGGAACGTCTCTTTCAGACAGCAAAAAAGGCCATAAACAACTGTATTACACAACTTTGCTCTTTGCAGACATCAGCACAGACAGCATGCTAACGGTAAGCTAGCCAAGACTGAAGTGAATGCAGGCTGCAGCATTCAGAGCCCAAACATCAACACAAAGAGCAGTGATGAGTAGTCAGTCTGTTTCTAAAGCACAGTCACTGTTGTAATCTTTAAAGTCTCTGTGCGGGTTTTGCTTTGTGTTCATGCCTAAATACTGAGACAGACACGCGTGTCCTCGTTAGGATAGGGATTTGTGTTAGTGTGTGCGCCTGCAGCCTACAGGTTTATGGTGTTAACTGGTAATTATGTAAGAATGTGTTTCATTTTACAGAGAAATGCAAAAGTAATGTAACAAGTAGTGTAACAAATGACATGCTCCTGGGAGTAATTAAGTAACAAATGCTTTTTGGCAATGGTGGTCACTCCCAATGTGGAGCCAACGAGAGCCCAATGAGCTG